CAAGAGTGTCCTAAAAGAGTGTCCCAAGAGTGTCCTACAAGAGTGTCCTACAAGAGTGTCCCGCAAGAGTGTCCCGTAAGAGTGTCCCACAAGAGTGTCCTACAAGAGTGTCATTTGGACATATGTAGCGCGAACCCACAAGAGTGTCCTCCTTGGCGAGACACTGGCGTGGGAAGGAATACAGCTGTCGGATCACTTTGCGGTCGCCGATAATCATGGACCAGCAGAGAAGTGGTGACGGTCAGCGAGCGGGTCACGGGCCAGTCCAGACGGCAGCTGCTACAGAGAAGTGGGAGATGACCTGTCCGGCGGCGGCGCAACAGGCTGTGTTGGAGAGCGCGCAAGTGCGCTGTGACGTCGTCTCTGCAAATCTTGTCCAATTTAATTTGTTTTTGGCCAACAGTGACACTCCGCCGTCGCATGAAAGATTCCCGGACAAGAAGGAACAGAAGCTGCAAATTGGGGAGAGCGGGGGTGAAGGTCGAAGTGTGGCTACAAGAGCGGTCTGCAAGAGTCAAACAATGATTGGCCCTTTATTTTCGATCTTGTTTGCCTGCTCATGTGGCTGACGAACCTCGACGTTAGCGAGCTGGACCGGAAAAAACATGACACATGCAAGCACTTTTCGAACGTGTTTGCATTCGGGATCGTGGGCTCCATCTTGTTATGGGTGAAGATCGGGGCTTTCGATACACCCACACCAGAGCGATGTCGGGGCTTCAACCCGAGCGCCCGAAGTGACCGAGCACCGGCGAGAGTTCGAGGCTATCACCCCGAGTTGTTGAGCTCTTTGGTCTTCACCTTGCGCAAGAGCCACACGACCAGCCCCTGGGCGGTGAGTTGGGCCAGGGAATCGCCTCTCACGCAGTTAGGCCAAGTGGCACATGGAGTCCTGGAGTGACAGATAGAAAGAGAGCCTTGGAGTCTTGTAGTTGGCATGAAATCCACATACACGTGCATGTAAATCTGTTTGTTAATTGATGTGTGTCGGAGTCGTTTTTTGTTAATATATATATATAT